TAACTATAAGAATAGCTACTTGTGTGGATTCCCATTAATATATAGAAAAACCAAACAAAAGGCACTATGGTGCTCAGTGCCATATGATGTTGTGGGGACTGGAAGTATAGGCAGATTTCAGAGATTTTGCATGGACAGCAAGCCCAGTGATACCTCCTAAATATAGGATGTGCAGTTATGAAGGTGTAAAGAGTTGTGTGTAGGAAGGTGGGAGGACACTACCTGTGAAGGATGCCTCTGTAATTGCTGCTCTTCTTCCCCTACCTTCTGCCACTGGCAGATAAAGCCCTGGATTGGTTGACCCTTACTCTATGTTAATGTACAGGCTTCCAAGCCAAAGGTATTCGTACCTGACTGTGACTGGATACGAGGGGATCTTGCAGCTTAACTCAACTGATAGAAGTGATGTGGTGCAAGCCAACATGAACATGATTCCTCTAGGCTCTATGCTGAAGTGGGCTCCTACTGCATACAAAAGCCTGGGAAAAAGATCTGGGAAGAGTGATGATCAGTTGGGTTCAGAACAATGATGCTATTGACTTGTCCTGGGTTCAGCTGTAAGTTATTTTTCTCCATCCTAGTAGCTGGTGCAGTGTTGTGTTTTCCACTTTAGCCTGAGAACAACACTAATAACACCAATGTTTTTAGTTGTGCTAAATAATGTTTACTCCGATGAAGGACTTTTCAGTCTCATGCTCTGCCAGTGAGGAGTGGCATGGGAAGCCAGGAGGAAGCAGAGACAGGACATCTGACCCGAACTAGCCAAAGGGGTATTCCATACCACAGCACATCATGCCCAGCATAGAAACTGGGGGGGAATTACGTGGAAGGGCCAGATTCACTGTAGGGCTGGGTATCAGTCGCCCTGTGGTGAGCAATTGGACTGTGCATCACTTATGCTTATAGTTTTCCTTTTCCCCTTTTAGTTTCGTATTCTCTTTCCTTGTTATTTCCATTATCATTATTATTATTGGTGGTAGTAGTAGCAGTTTTGTGTTATACCTTAGTTACTGGACTGTTCTTATCTCAACCTGTGGGAGTTGCATTCTTCCGATTCTCTTCCCCATCCCTCCAGGAGTGAGGGGCTGGAGATGCAGGGGAAAAGGGGGAGAGTGAGCTACTGGCTGTGCGGTTCTGGGTTACCGGCTGGGCTTATACTACAACATGACTTTTAATGGTATTGCAGTTCTCCCCCTCTTCCATCACATCACTGGGTATATGGATTATTTCCTCAGACGTGTCCTAATTCAAAACAATTTCTCATGTAACAGCTCTTTAGAAATCATAAACCCTCCAGAGCACTAAATTACTTAAGTAATGTTACCTCCTTCAAGACTCAGGGGTAGGAACAGCATGATAAGGACCAGCAAGTAATAAAGAAAGTATATAGGACTTTGCATCCAGAAAATCCCTTTTCTACTACAGACTCTCAATGTATCACAGTATCACAGTATGCTGGAGATTGGAAGGGACCTCAAAAGATCATCTAGTCCAATCCCCCTGCCGGAGCAGGAACACCTAGATAACGTTACAGAGGAATGTGTCCAGGCGGGCTTTGAATGTCTCCAGGGAAGGAGACTCCACAACCTCCCTGGGCAGCCTGTTCCAGTGTTCCGTCACCCTCACTGAGAAGAAGTTCCTTCTCAAGTTTAAGTGGAACCTCTTGTGTTCCAGTTTGCACCCATTACCCCTTGTCCTATCATTGTTTGCCACTGAGTAGAGCCTGGCTCCATCCTCGTGACATTCCCCCTTTATATATTTATAGACACTAATAAGGTCACCCCTCAGTCTCCTCTTCTCTAAACTATAGAGACCCAGCTCCCTCAGTCTTTCCTCATAAGGGAGATGCTCCACTCCCTTAATCATCTTGGTTGCCCTGCGCTGGACTCTCTCCAGCAGCTCCCTGTCCTTCTTGAACTGAGGGGCCCAAATATGGATACATGTAAATATGGATAAAACCAATGGGAGAAAGCAAGGGCAGGAGAGGATAAGTGAGTTAAATGTCATGGATTCTGCAGTTATGGGGACACCTTGGTGCCACATACAGCTAAAAAAAAGGTCTTATGTTTTTGGAAAAGTAACTGCACTATTTCCACCCTCCCCCCTTTTCAACTACCCCCAGAAAAAAACAGTTCAGCAGACACAGACACTTCTTGCCCTTTTTCTGTGTATTTGTAACAATATCATGTCAGATGATGCTACCAATACATAAAAATGAGTTCCTACGGATGTGTACTGTCTTGTAGCGCTACAAACAACATGCAATTGAGACCAAGACTTCTGAAGGAGCCAAATGCACCTGCATCTACCCTGGCCTTCAGGAAGTTCACACCTGTGAGTCTAAGCACCTACAGATACTTGTACATCAAGAAACCAGGCACTTGGCTGCCTTAATGAACTGTAGTAAGGAAACTTCCATGTTTTTTTCCCCTCCAATAGGGTTAAAGGCTGCAGGAATTCAGCAAAACAAAAAAAGAACACTAAACTTCCTACCAGACATTAAACCACCAACGTTAATAAACTGTGCAATGAAAAGTAAACAGACCACTTCTGAAATCTTCATCATGCCCCTAAACTAATATTAGACTCTGTCCAAGGACTCTACAGAAACCACAGTCATTAAAAGGGAGAGATTTTTGACTGCAGTTTTGGGACACAAGAACTATGTCAGCACAACATAAAAACAAGGGAATTTTTTATGCTAATGACAACTGCAAATATTTTATGTATACTTATATATGTAAAAAAATATATTGTAACAGATGTCAAATGCAGTTAGATTCAACTCAACTTATTAGTGCATGGCTTTTAGCCAAAAACAATTCACATTTGCAGAAGTGTACTATCACATATGTCTTAATAACAGAAATGTGTTTTTAAAAATGTATGTGATAAGTCACATATGGTAGAAGGAATCTGTACAGCTTTCAGCCCTTATGACAATGGAAGCTACTAACTTTACTTTGCATTTCTGAAGAACATTAAAATTCAAGTGAAATCGTCTTTGACTTTTGAGAGCTGCAAAAGCAACGAGTAAAAGCTAGACAAGACTGAGCTGTACTAAGTGTGGCTGTGACACTTACATAAATGCAATCTGCATCTACTATGGGTATCTTACAGACACTGTTCTTACTTTTGCACTGAGAGGTAGTATTTTAGCACACAATCATAATTGTTTACAGGTACCTTAAATAGTTGCATGTCACTGAAAAATACTAGGCAGATTTTTCTGGTGTTTTGTTATGCAGAGTGTAATTAATATGCATAATGGGTTCCCTAAGGTACTAATTGAAGCTGTCACCATGAACAAAGTCGAAGAGAAGTTAAACAACCAGTTGGGGGAAATATGACAGGATGAAATATGCCCATGCAGGTGGAAAGAGAGAGAATGTCCATCTGGCCTTCTTCCATTCCAAAATGTTAGTGTTACTGAAGTCCTGTAAAGGAATGATTTAACCTAAATCACCCTCTGCCCCAACTCTCAGATCATCCTGGTGGATTAAGTGGGTATCAGTGTCACATACATGCTGTTTAATGACTGAAAGGATCAATGTCTCTGTTATATGTGGGAAAACGCAATTCAGCTGAGCCATTCCTGAGAATTTGACTCAAAATATTAAACAAAAGTGAACGAAGGATAAATAACTATTTTGGATTTGTTCTGCAGGACTCTCATCACCTTGGAACTCCTGGGTTCTCTAGAATGTGAGGTGAAAACAGCTCATTTCACACTTGCTATTAAGCAACCAACAACTAACAATGACTTTAATTCAGCTTGCACTGAATCTGAACTAGCCCTATAGGCAAGAGAGGTCCCTTGTCTTATCAGAAGTTTCATGTGCTATCAGGTCCCTGCTGGATCTTACTTCTAATTTTTATCAGATTGAATGAAACATAAAGAAAGAGTGATTTATGATTACCCTGCATCTTGCCTAATCACTCCAACGAGTGCTCACACACATTTTGCATTCACCTTATAAGGTGCAAATATCTATACATGATGGAAGCCAAGTGAGAAGTAGAACTGTATTCTTTTGTTATATGTGCTAAACCACAATGATTTGTGAGTCCTGTCAGTGCATGTTCTTACAAATACAAAACCACTCCAGCCCAAAAGCCAGCATAATCAGCAAACTACTATAAAAATAAAAGCATTTCCCCTGTCTATAACAGGAATATACAGTTACTGTGACTTAGTTAAACTGCAATGATCACCTCCTACTGAAGCTAAAAATATGTGTTTTATTGGTACATAAGAGCCCATTAAAACCCGAGTATTCATTATTTAAACTGAATCACTGACTGTTGGTAGCTTTAACTGAAAATGGCTTTTCTCAAAGAGCCAGGACATCTATATAGCAACTTTCTTAATTCAATGATATATGGTTGAGTGTTGCCGCTAGTGCCCTAAGATTTAAGAACTTCCCATAAAATGCCCTTGAAATTGCTCCCTAGTAGCTTGCTCATCCTTCACACAGCCCTACTGAAAAGAGCAGAAACATACGTGTGTGTATGGTATGAGAGATGCACGCAGGGAGTGAGAAAGAGCTCTTAATCAACAGGATGGCAAAGCCTTGATACATAGGTGCAAAATATTCCCATGTGTCTAGAAATCATTTGGCACATTCCTAGTTATTTCCCCTCTGTCAGACCTCCTCAAGGATTGCAATTAAAAATCACAATCTTTTTAGCATGTACAAACATCCCCAAGGCTAGGAGCACTATGTATTGAGTATGACTGTGATATTATTTGGCAGCTATTCATAGACAACACATTAATTTATGGAAACTGGATGAAACTTGGGGAGTGCGATCATTAGGGACACATGAGAAATCGAAAGCTTTCCTCACTGATACTGACCTTTTTATAGCTATGATTAGGGGCATCTTGAAATCTATTATCTCTTTCCTCGCCCTTCTTGCTGTCCTAGTCTTTTTAGTGATCGTATACAACAACTTGGTTAGACTAGCATTTTCAAATGGATATAAAAAGAACTTACTTTACAGGAATATTTCTCAATTTTGTCTTTTCGGCAGCCTGTAAACAGAAGAGGGGTGGGGGAAACAAACAATTAGGCAACACACCAAAGCACAACCAAGCTGCAAGCAAACATCAACCTGTGGATGCTCTCTGGAAGTGTGTACGTCACTCTTCAGGAATAGAGCACTACAGAGTTTGAGCACTTCTGCCCCAGTCTGTGATGTCAGCGTGGTTTGTTTATTTTTAATGGCCACGAGTGTTTAGGAACTGCTCATTCAGGGCGATTACTTCATTAACCACTCTGAGGTCTGGTCCCTTTGTCATAAGCTATCTTTCCATATCTGCAACAAGAACAACAGGAAAAAATAATGGGAAGAATGGACTCCATCTCCAAAACAGTTTTTATTCACCAGCAACAGGAAAGGGCAAGGGATGACCAAATGTTCAGATCAATTTCCTCTTGTGAAACCTTTGAGAAAACACACTCCAAATCATCTAAATGAGTAAATCTTTGGGCCTCTCGGCCTGCACCACCTCAGACATGGAGCCTGGTTCCAGTTTATTGCTGAACCCATTGATCTGTGTACAGTCCATTTATCATTCATGAAAAGAGCCAGTGATCTTCACAGTATATTAGAAGAAACAACTCAGATCATCTGTCAACGGCCCTCTTATTTCTGTTTCCCTCTCCACAGGGATTTCATCTCCTTCGATTCTTCTTGAATTAAAATGTTGCTAAGCAACACAGCTGGGGGCAGCGATGGCAGAGCCGCGCCAGTCTATCACACTGGTTAAGCTGCTCGAGATTTTAGTGGAGGTTTTATGCTTTATTAATGCTTCTGTGGCACAATTATGTAATCTGAAACAACCTTGCATCCCCCCTCTGATTTTTCCAAGAACAGGTAAATGATGTTTTAACACAAGAAGGCTTGAAACATCACCTTTGGATAAACTGATGTGGCTGTATCGTTTCACAGAACTCCTAGCATTTGCTAGAACCAGACTGTAATAGATTTAAACACGGAAAGTGGTCAGATGGTTAGTGAGATTACAAGCACGGATAGCGGTGAAAGGCAGAATTAAGACAACTGATCCATAAACCTATTATAGTAGGGGAAGTTTTAGTGCTTAATTACATTCACAGATATTTTTATAAAGCCTATCAAAATTGAGAAGGGGGTTGGTGAGGAACTTTAACCTTTGCTATGCTTAAGGATGGGAATAAAAAGGTTCCCACATAGGAACTGCTAATGTTAGCAGTCCTGAAAAATGCTCATGTTGCTTTTGAGGAATTAAAACTTTTATGAAAACCTTTTGAAACCTCTGGGACCTGCACAACTGGGTTCCAAATTTTGCCAGAATGAGTTTTCCTCTGGACTCTACAACAGGGCTAGTTTTTCAAAATACCTGCTGTTTTGGCACTTTTGCCTCCAATCATAGCAAACATAAAATCTGTGTTTAAATCCATAGAAACCCCCAATAATGAGTTTAAAATATGGGAGAAGGAATTAGAGCTTGCGAGAGCTAAGATGGGAAAACAGCAATCCTCTGGGCTGGCTCCCAGTGTGCAAATAAAATGTGGACTTTTTCATTTGGATTGTATTTTTCATCTAAAGAATAAATCAATGAATGCATGATAGGAAACAATTATACTAATTGTACAGTAGGGTTGCTAAATAAAACACTTGAACCTCAGGAAATGCTAAACTTAAGATTGCACAAGTAAGTGTTACAGACCCAAACCTAATTATGTACTCTCAAACAAGCATATGATGAACTGGGATCCCTGCCTCATTAGTGAGATAATGTGAGTTGCCCCTCTTTCCAATGACACTCTCCTAAATCTCCCCTTTTCAGGAGTGCAAACACAGAGTCAGAAGCATGTTTTTAAGAAATCTTTCTGAGTAATAAAACACATGTAACAACACACAAATGCTTCATTTAAAACGGATTAAAACACCAACAAAAATGGCATTTCAGTTTCCCAAGCCTCCCACTAAACGCCAATTTCAGTCCCATCCTACAGGGAACTAAGATTATTTTTAAAGCTCATAAAGAGCCTTCCACAATGGCAGAGGTTTTTTTGACTGTACAATGGTATTTTGCTTGACCCTTTTATATACCAAATAGCTGGACTACTACAATTTTGAGTTCAAGCATGTGATGCTTGCATCTAAATCAGTTTTTCCCCCCTGAATTATTCAAAAATCACTACACAAAACCTGTTATCAAAATACAGATAAAGAAAAGAGAAGAGTGAAGAGTGTCTAGGATCACAAGTAAATAATAATGCAGTCAATTCTAATACAAAGTATAGCAGAAGATATTCTAGAAAGTATGTGCATGATGGTGTGAGCTAAGCTGTTTACATGAAAGATTAAAGAAGAGGAAGATATTTCAGGGAGTGAGAATTGGCAATGTCAAAGTCATAGAATACTAAAGAGTAGAGTCTAAACTGGATGTTTGATTTTCTGATTACTTAGCTGCGCTGATGGCAACTGTTTACCCTGAAAGAAATGGGGTAGCTTTCAGAAGAATTACAGATATATGTTATTATCTTGGACCATGACGATTCTAGCACTTATCTTTCCTTAGGTTTTTACATGAGGAATTTCCACATTTTATCCCTTTGTTACTGAGAGAAGGCACTTTCCTAACTTTTAAGAAAAGGCACATGCTGGAGGGACACATGGGTCCTCCACACATAGGCCCATTCACAAAGAGCTTTAAAAAATCTTGCAAACTCTCAGGTTAATGTACATGCCATCCTAGTTTAATGTTGGATGGTCAAGCAACTGGCCATTTCCTATTACAAATGATTCAGTGTGCCTCTGAGTGCGTTTGTGGTGATGTTAAACACAGCACAGAATGCATGTCAGGGATTCTGCCTGAGACAAAAATGCAGGATCTGGCCTCCTGCTTTTATTTGTCTTACAGGTGTTGCTCATTCATTTTTCAAAGTGTATTTGTTGCGGTATCATGAGCATGCTCAGTGCAGAAGATAAAGGAAGGCAAAATCAAAGTGACATTAAGTAACTCTACACGTTAAGCTTTGATGCAGAAATATATTATCTGAAAATATTTGGTGTGCAGCAGGTCTGTCAATTAGAGCTAATTATTTTTCTCTGATCATGAAGAATGCAATCATGTTTTAGGCAGGTTTCTTTGAAATGTACGTCTTTTATATAACTTCATTATAGGAAAATACTTCTTCCAAATTACTTTTTTTTTCTGGGCTGCTTAGCTATTGACTCAAATTGTCTGTGTTGAGTAGTTCCCTCTGCTTTGATAATTAACTTTTGATCATTACTGAATTTAGCAGCTCTAGTCAGATGTGTTCGTAGCCATCCTCCTCAACTATTTCAGTGTTCATCGCCTTTAATCTCTGAACAAAATGATCTCATTGAGGCTCCATCAGCCTTGCTACTCAGTTAATAATTCCTTTTTCTCATCTTCATGACTGAGTTTGATTTGTTTTAGACTTGATGCGAGCTTTAGATTATTAATTTAAGATATTTCAAAGAAAAACATGTTTTAAGAGTTATTTTTTATCTTATTTTCTTTTCAAATAAGAAACTGGGTTTAAATCCACAACAATTCCAAACCTTCATGTATTAAAAGTACTATCTAGAAACAGAGCAGGTAGGAGGTCTCTAAACATTACACCCTAAGTGGGAGATGGTGTGCAGATGATTGGAATGAAATCAGACTGGTATAATGTAATATTCAATGGGTGTTAGGAGAATTACATCATGGGACCTTTGTTAATTTTGAGCTTGAAAACATGCATTAAAATAATTTAGGATGATTAGAAAATGGAAGCCAGAGTGAACCAGACAATCATTTCACTTTAATTGCAATTTCCTTCTGATTTTTATTTTACAATTATGGCCTTTCCATAATTGTGCCTCTGCTCTCTAAGACCTTATTTCAACAGCTGACTCTAGTGTTGAATAAGAAGGAAGATGATGAAGAATACATGAAAAGCAGTAAGATGTACAGGATCATCATCAGAGAATATTTGCCCAGAGATGTTTTCCCATGACTTTGAAAACTGCAAATGACTCCTACCTCTTATGTTGCTTACACCTGATTTTGACACTAGCTCTTTCAGCTTTAGTTCAAGAACCACCACAGGTTCTTAGTTCTTAGCAAGTATTTAACTATTACACAAAACAGTAAACATGCAAACAAGCATAAACTGCCTCTAGATTGTGCACAAGGACCACAAAATGTAGAAACTGATGCTTTTCTTTATCACTATCAATTATTGGACTGGCTACTGTTTAGAACGAAACAGAAAAAATACTCCAATGAATACAACTTTCCTGCATCAGAAAGACCTGAGGAGAATAAACTGAGAAGAGATTGGCTCAAAAATATCAAAGTAAAATAACCAACATCTTCAGAAACAAATTAGATTTTTAATCAAGTGCAGTGAAAGTGTCTGCTACCCAAATAAAATACATATTTGCCATTGCATAACTGAAAATTCAGGATTTTCAGGGAAAAGTATTTGATTTTGAGAAAGTGAAATTAGAAAAAAACTATTTAAGAATGCTTCCTCACCCTCTTGATTCAGAAGTACATCAGCCATGTAAGAAGGCCATTGCTGAGCCTCAGAGAGTTTTTTAGGGTGAGATGGATGGCACTTCATGCCACTGAACATGTTGGCAGAAGAAGGAAGGCCTTCATACTGATTTTCTTCCATGAGCGCCTGCAAATCTGACTCAGGTTAACCTCCCAGTTTCTAACGAGCTCTGTATGCTTGGGTGAATTGGTAAGTGACTCAAAAGAATTAAGTTTATAATCTACGACACTGTTCTCCTGTCCTGTAAGTATAGACTTCTTGGAGACCCAATTCAATAGTATAATAAAACCAAAGACACTTTCTACATTAATTGAGTTGTATATATAGGTTTATATATACACATTCATATATCTGTATAGGTTGTAATTTGTCTTGGAAGTGATATTATACTGTTATTTACAGAAAATTTTTACCTATGATCCTAAGTAATGAACCAAAACCTACTATTTGTCAACTGCACTGTATG